CCCCCCCCCCCCCCCCACCTCTGCCGCACTCACCTCTGCCCCCCTCCCCAACCTTGGCACTCACAAACAACCTCATGCCCTCCCGCCCCTCGCCATGTCCTCCGACGCCGCCTTCGCGGATGCCGTGGAGTACACCGCAAAGTCCCCGTTATACAGCCTAGGCTGGAGCCACCGCGAGGATCGTCCGGGCCGCCTCGCCGTGGGCACCTTCACGGACGAGTACAACAACACCGTCCAAATCCTGCAGCACAACCCGGACTCGCTCGACTTCCTCACCTCCTTCGATCACTCGTACCCCACCACCAAGGTCGCCTGGATCCCGGACCCGCACTCCAACCACCCGGACCTCATCGGCACCACGGGCGACTTTCTGCGTCTGTGGGAGCTCGACTCGGACGGAAACGCAAAGCTCAAGTGCTTCCTCAACAACAACAACCAGAGCGAGTTCTGCGCCCCCCTCACCGCCTTCGACTGGAACGAGCAGGACCCGTCGCTCATCGGCACGGCCTCCATCGACACCACGTGCACCGTCTGGGACGTCGAGACCCAGCAGTCGAAGACCCAGCTCATCGCCCACGACAAGGAGGTCTACGACTTTGCCTTTGCCGCGTGCGGCGTCGACGTCTTCGCCTCGGTCGGCGCCGACGGCTCGGTCCGCCTCTTCGACCTGCGCGAGCTGGAGCACTCGACCATCATCTACGAATCGCCTGACATGACCCCCCTGCTGCGCCTGCGCTGGAACAGACGCAACCCCAACTGCCTCGCCACCATCGCCATGGACTCGCCCGAGGTCATCATCCTGGACATCCGCCAGCCGTCCTTGCCCGTCGCCGTCATCGACCACCACTCGGCCACTTCGAAGAATTGCGTCAACGCCATCTCCTGGGCTCCGCGCTCGGCCGTCAGCCTCGCGTCCGGGGGGGACGGCTGCCTGGCACTCATCTGGAACATCTCCAGCCTCCCAAAGCGCGTCGATGATCCCGCCCTGTCGTATTCCGCCGGCGCCTCCATTAGCAACTTACAATGGGCACCTTCGTCCTCGGAATGGATCGCACTCACTGTTGAGGATAGGCTTCAGGTTTTGCGTCTGTGACATCCGCAACCAAACCTCAACTTTGCACCTGACTTGCTTCGCTGTACAATTCAAACAAGTCACCAAACACCACGGGGAATTTCGGGCAAGCTCCGTCCATTTTGTACTAACTCTTGACGCTTGGCCGCCATCGCTTTTATCCTATCAGACCTTTTGCATCTTGTAAAGTCCATAGGTGAGAAAAGACCTACAGCGACTTCCCTGTGGCGTAATTTGGGTGTCGAGGAGAAGGCGATCGAAACGACCGCATTTGCACCGCGAAGGTTCCGAGTTTGAGCAAGGACCTTATTCGTTTGGCAGCAGCTCAGGCTACTATTTCAAGCCGACAAACCTATCAAGTGAGCCTTTCTTTATTATGCTTTCCGTTGTCAAACACTCAATCTTCTCCCCGGCGGCCATCCTCCTACAATAGTCGACTTTCACTGTCAGGGAATCGACTTGGAGAATAGATATATACAAAAAGTTATTAGTTAGTCGATATGTAAAAACTCGTAAGCTCGATGAACCCAGTTAACGCCTCTCATCCCGGAGCTGATTCGGTCTTTAGACGGTCGTCGTCCCTGTCCAGATTCACTGTCGGTGCCGGTGACGCTGAAGCTCTAGGTGTTGAGGGGTTGCTCGCGACACCGACCGCAGTATCCATCTTGACAACTTCTTGTTCGATTCTTTTGAAGAAACCTGACAGTCCCGCCGCGGCACGAGAAGAGACTAAACTCGACAGGCGCCCGAGATGGGCCACGTTCTGACGCAATCCAGACAGGCTCGCTGCAACCCGGTCGACCGGTAGTATGGCTTCATCCGCGGGCGACTCATCCAGCTCTGGCTTTGGCGGCGGCTGGAACGTCATCCCCTGCAACGAGCACCGCCGAGCCCATTGCGCCGCATTCCTCGTCTTCATCCACGTCTTCACAAACTGCTCATTGTACAGCTCAAACTGTGAGAGACTCATCTCGTCGACCATTTCAGAGCTCCAAGTCTCGCCGCCCAACGGTCCCCCGAGCACCCCCTCAACCGACGCCGCCGATCGCAAAAAACAATTCAAGTATTCACGCAACCGTCTACGAATGTAGTCATCCGACCCGACATACGCCCCTGACGACGAGACAGACGCGGACGAAGTGCCCGCCGAAAAAGTCAAGTCGCGCATGAATCGCCGCTCGACGCGCGAAATGCGACACAGCGGTTCGATACTCCCCGACACCGACACCTTGCCCGTCGTCAAATTGACCAGTGCGTCCACAATAGGCACTCCCCCGTTCCGCGGAGGCGCCGTCTGGGCGCTTGGAAGCGGGGACGGTTTCCCGGGCGTAGACAAACGACCAGTGTCTCCATTGCCCTGCGACGGCGTTGGCAACACTGGGACAGCAGAGCTCTTCGAGCCGCGAATCGGCGTCTGCTCGTTGAGAGTGGCCTCCCCCGAAGGTCGGGTCGGCGTGGAGCTGGACTTTTGCAAAAATGCGCGGGCCGTCTGCACGAGCGGAGACTCGGTCTTCGCGGCGGCGGCCTTCTTCGCGGCCGAGGCGGCGGTCGACGAGAGTTGCAAGCCCACGTTATGCGACGTGCTTATACGGCAGGCCCTCCTAGATTGATTCGGAATGAGCTCTGCCACGAGCGGCAGTGAGGCGTACGGCTGGAGAATGACGCGATCGCCGTGTCCGAACAGGGCGAGCGGGAGGCCGAGGGCAGCGGAATCGGGCCCGTGGTCGAGCGGGGGCACGGCGGGGGAAATGGTATCCAGGGCGCCGATGATGTGTGAACACGAGGGAGTGTGACGGCGTTGGAGGCGTGGTGTACGGGCTGCGAGTAGATGACGACCCTGCGCTCCAGCAGGATGAGCTTGAGCACGGCGAGGGTCTGCGGGCCGAGCTTGCGCAGGACGGCGCGCAGGTCGAGGGCGTGGAACAGAGTGGGGGCATCGTTGAGCGACGGGCGGCACAGCGAGACGTTGAGGGCGTGGTAGAGCGAGGCGAGGACGTCCGTGCGGGCAAAGTCGGCCTGCTCGAAGTAGGCGCGCACGGCCGGCTGTAGGCGGTCGGCGAGGACGCCGAAGAGCGGGCGGCGGCAGAGCAGGACGACGGCCTTCTGGACGGAGCCGCGCGAGGCGACGCCGCGCTCGTACAGATGTGCGGCGGAGGCCGAGTGGGTGCGTGCGTCGACGGCGTCGGTCTGGCGGAAGCAGGCGACGCAGTGCACGTGCGGCGGCAGGGTGAAGAAGACGACGTCCGTGCTGGACTCGTGGGCGCCGTCCGGCAGGGCCATGAACGGGAGGAAGGCCCACTCGTCGGGCAGGACGCCCCAGTCGCCGGCGCGGCCCGAGGGCGCGTGCGGTGGCGGCGGGGCGGTGTCGAACTTGCGCACGGCGTGCGGCGTGTTCGACTGGACGATGCTCGGCGACGACGCGTCGGCCGAGATGTCCGACGTGTCCCAGATCTTCGGCGAGCGCAGCACGGCGTCGCCGCGCAGGCGCGGGTACGCAAACTCGATGCGGTTGCCCAGCTGCGCGTGGAAGCCCACGACCACGACGTGCGCGACGATCGAGCCGTCACCCGCCCCCGTGGGGGACGCCATGAGCGAGGGTGGGGGGTGAAGGGGGGAGGGAGGGAGGGGGGGTGGTGGTGGCGGAAGGGGGAGGCGGAAGGGAGGAGAGGGCGCGGAGATGGTGACGGCGAACGGAGATGGGAGGAAGCACAAGGTGGGATGTATTGTGAGTCTGACAGTGTTGCTCAGGCGATGGGGGGGGGGGGAACGTGTGTGTCATTACGCGTACGTGTACATGTGTATACGTGTACACCTGCACCCGTAGGGACGGCGGAGGGTACTGCCCCTAAACCCTGTGCTCCTTTTTTGTGACGGCTATTTTTTGCCCCAGTCAGTCGGGTTATTTTCCTCCTGCTTCGGTCTTGTTGAGCGCTACGTCCCGAGAGTAGGTTCGTTGAACGCAGAATTGTGATGTCGTTAAGAAGATATACGTTTTGTCTCCAGGAGACGCGTACTTTTCGAGTAGTGTCCTCCCGAAAAGTGTGGGGTGGTCCTATTTTGTGATCGGGGCATAAACTTCACAAAATGCACACAAACGTCTCAAAGTTCTCACAAGTTTTGTGAATCTCGCTTTTCGCTTTGTTTTTGTGAATCTCACTTTATTTTTGTGACGTCAAACATCTCGAAGTGCTCTTTCGCCCGTCTTTTGTCCCTCTTTTGACCCAACCACATAGTACGCAGTAGGTTTTGGGTCCCACTGACCTTCTCTTGCAGTAAATTCCGGTTCAACCTACGCAGTTGCGAACACGAAGGGAAGGGGAAGTGTCTCTGGAAACTAGCCGTAGAGGGCTGGAAAGGGAGATCTTTTTTGTGTGACGTTGTTCAGTTTGTTTGCCTTTTCAGATGGAGAGCCTTTTATATGTGATCTTTGTGATGCCCTCATACAACTCACACAAAGCCATCACAAAATGCACACTGTCAATGTGAGAGTTTTGATTTCAAGGTTGACGTTTGAGAGGTTTTGAGATGCGTCTCACAAAACCATCACAAAAGATTCACGAAAATGTGTGATGTTTGAAACGATTTTTGTGATGATCACAAAACGTTCTCAAAAAGTGCTACAATTCAACAAATATTCACAAACCATGTGTGACGAATGAGAAGACGGCGGCGAAAAGAGCAAAACTCTCACAAATCGTCACACAAATCGTCTTCACTTTTTGTGACGCCCTAAATCGTCACAAACCGGAGCACAGGGTTAAGGGCAGAAGGGGGGATAGAAAGATAAAGGGAGGGAGGGAGGGGGTAAGGGAAAACTTGACCACTTCACAGTGTGGACGCAGAATGCAATTGTGATCCGTGGACACGTGGACAGGTATTACAAGAGGCGGCGACGGCCGGAGGTGGGGCGGGGGGACAGGTGTCCTAGAGTTGCTACGGCGTTGCGGTTGTCGTTGATGACATCACGTTGATGACATGCCGTTGATGACATGCCGTTGATGACATACCGTTGATGACATGACGGCCTGCCCGAGACGAGTGCCGTCCGTAAACGGACATACTCCTGTTGCTCATCCTCCCCTCGCTACCCTAGACCCATTGACACAAACCTCCTCCCTCTCTGAGGCGCTTACGCCCGCGCCGCCTGGCTAGCCGCCCGCCCGCCTGGTTGGCCTCCCTGCCCTCCTTGGGCGCGTCGCTTGCGCCAGAGCTTGCCCCCGTCCCGCTGCCTCCGTCCCGCTGCCCCCGTCCCGCCGTCATGCTTTTCAGCGCGCTCCACCGGGCAAGCCCCGCCCCACGACCTCGCCAGCGCGACTTAGCAAGCCCTGCGGGCCCCGGCGACTGCCGCGCATCGTGGTGTAGGTCGTGGCAAACCCGCGGGGCGTGCGTGCCCGCGCTTCCCTCCCCACGGCCTGCTTGCTTGCGTGCCGCCCGCCAGAGCAGAGGCGCACCGGGCGCTGAGCAGCGGCCCGCGTGCTCCGCCATGCGTCATTTGTAAGCGTGCACCACACGTACTTATCTGCACCTCGCACGCCCTGCATTCGCGGCTTGTGCCCGCTTGCCTCGTCACCACGGCTAGGGTACGTACAATCCCCTCATACGTGGCTTTTTCATCTCTGTCTGGCTCGAGAGCCCGGCACAGGCCTCGCCGCCTTGTCAACTTTGGCCTAGCCAAACAATTTCCCCGACCCGCGCAATTCTCAAACCGCTTTGCGAAACGCGCTCCGACCAACTGTGTGTGTATTGGTACGGTATAATTATTATCTGTAGTTAGCTAGCATCTCCGCCATATTTTACATCTGTCCCTCCACAAAACCTCGTACCTCATATTGTCCAATCCGCCCTAGCCGCGATCCGGCCTTCCCTTGTGCGCGTACGCGTCTTGAAAAGCGCGGAGGAGTTAGTGCAGTACCGACTTTTCCAAAAAAATCCTCTACAGACACCTGCGAGTGTCCACGGTTCTCCGCTGCAAAACGGTGCCATCACGCGAGCACTTAGTATCGTCATGTCTTCTACAAAAACAGGTGCAACCGCACCACCTCTATTCCACGCTGCCGCAACTGCTATAGACATACCGTGCAGTCTGTACATTCAGTCCCCTCATGTCAGCCCAACACGGCGGCGGAAACATCAACGGATGACAAAAAGTGCCTTTTCCTTAAAGCGTTCGCCGTGGGCAACAAACGCTAAACATGCCCTTGGCCCTCATAGTCTCTGTCTGCCTTCCATCGAAAATCGGTCTCTGCGCCGAAGCGGTATTCATCATCGTCATCCGGCCCGAGGGAGAACCACTCCTCCTCCTCGTCCGTGATCTGCAGGGGAGCGCGGGTAGGGTTGGCCCCGACCAGCCCCTTGACGTACACCCCGGCAATCTCCGCTGTGCTCGCCGGCTTGAGCCACACCCTTATCGCCACGAGGACAAAGATTGTCAAAAGAAGCGTGATTAAAAGAGAGATCCAATTCAGCCCTCGCGCCGTCTCTTGCCATACCGTTGCCTTCTGCTCGCGGGACTTGCCATCGGCGAGGAATAGGTCTGTGGTGTCGCCAGCGGTGATCTGGATACCCACCGACGCTTTCAGCACGGAGGGTGCGTATTGCAGGGCAGCAATGTCGCCGACGGCGGGGACGTTGGAAAATGATGTCGTGTACCGCGTGGTGGACACGTTCACGGGAGGCTGCCCTTGTTGTCTCAAAAGCGGGGCAGGGGTACCGGGGCCTTTTTCATGAGCTATCAGAATTTGGTTGAGGCGGTCTGCCGTGATCGTGCCGTCATCGGCGGCTTTTTTGTAGCTGGACATGAGATACGATATGAACAGGTGGTGGACGTGGAAGATTGCTTGGTCGTTGCGTTCGCCGGCATCTGCACTCTCGCTCATCAGGCGTTCCTCACCGTCGCTGAGCGCGAGATAAGCACGAGCTGAATAAGTGGCTGTCTTTTCGCCGAAAGTGATGCCGTACTCCGCGCCATAGCGATGGAGTTCAGAATAGATGGTGACATCTACTGGTGGGGCGGCCTGCTTCTCGAAAGCGAGGGGGATCTTGCTCCCCTCGCGAGTAGATGTGACGCATGAAGAGATGGAGGTCCTTTCTTGCTCAACTCTATTCAGCAACAAGGCAGTGCAAACGCGGTTGATGGAGACGCGGGAGTGGAAGCGAACTTGACGCCATTCAGGTGTGATGGGGTGGAGGAGTCGGATGGAAGCTCTTGAATTGTACACTGGTAGTGAAGAAGGCGTGGTGAGGAACAAGACGAGGACCTCCAAGGCGAAGGTGGCTCCGAAAAAGAGGAAGGCGAAAACAAGTAGTTTCAAGTTGACGCGATGCAAGCGGGCGTTAAAGATTGAACGAAAGCGGAAATCACGGGCAAGCTCGACGATATGCTTTACCGAGAAGCCAAAGATGGAGACGGTTCGATTGGAGGTGCGCAAAAGCAGAGTGGTGACGATTCCTTCGATGGCCAGAAGAAGAAACAAGGAGAGAAAGGCGATGAGGACATCGTCGCGGGGGGTGACATCTCTGGTGAAGATGCCTGATTTTAGCTCAGTGATAAGGATGTTGTCTTGCAGAAAAGAAGCAAGATTTTCAACGCCGACGATGGAAGTATTTATGATGGGGACAGCGCTAGTCGGTTGGTAGAAGAAGTAGGTGTTGTTGCGGTTGTCAACAAGGCGTTCGAAGACATTAGAGGTGCTGTTCATGGCAAGGGCACTCACGCGGGCATGGGAGCGGGGGCGGTTGATCGCCGCGGGCGACAATTAGGAGCATGTAGGGAAGCGAGGCGGAAGCTGTTTGATGTGGATGTGGAGCAGAAAGATTTGAATGGAGGGGTGGGCGGTGAAGCATAGCTCGAGGAGCGGACAGCACAGGGGGGGGGGGGGGGGGATTTCTCCGCTGTATTAAGTACAGGGAGAGGTGGCGGAGACGTGGAGGTCGTCAAAGTGTACCGGTAGCTCGTAGGTACAGTAGGTCGTAGGTAGGTCGTAGTGAAGAGGACTGAAGGCCAGAGGGCCATTGCATATGTACAATGGGTCCTACAGTGGAGAGATAATAACCGAATGACAGTCATGACAAAGTCCAGAGCTGTGCCAAACTGGTCCGTAGTGCCAGTACAGTAGATGCCTGGATACTTGTCATACTGTCCTAGTACTGTAACTGAACTGCGCGTGAGCCCACATACGACATGCTCGCAGCTGAGGGCGTGCGCTACGAACCGGCGCTACGAACCGAGCTGCGGGCGGCCGTTCATTGAAACGCCGTTCGTTGAAACGCGGCCGCGACCGCGGAGGCAAGGTGTCTCGTCGAGTCCTTGAGGGATGATAAAGTGTGCGGGCGTCAAGTGTGCGGGCGTCAAGTGTGCGGGCGTCAAGCGTGCAATCGTCAAGTGGCCCCTGTCGTCTTGTCGGATGTGATGACGATGTCACGTCAGATGGCGCGTCGTGCACTGACCACTTAGATTTATAGGAATCATTTTTTCTCCGTCCATGTTCCTATAATATCTCGTTGCCTCGCCGCGATCTATGTCCGTCGTTCCAACGCCCTTTGCTGGCGGGCGCGCCTCTCCATCCGCGAATGGGACCGCGCGAGAGCGACGCAGAGTTTCTCCCTTTGGGTCTTAGCTCTGTTGTAAATAAAGATGTAAGGTATATGATAAGGTACACATAGAGCGAGCTCTGGAGACGTCGCCAACTGTCAACAATATTAGCCTCCACTGCCCCACCGCTGGTATCATCTTGACTGCAATCTGCTGACAGGCGCCGCTTTTCGACCTTTCTTTCGACCTTTCTTTCGACCTTTCATACCGCCTTCTTTCACACCTTGTTTCACACCTTCTTTTTCCCCCTCGCTCTCGCTCTCGCTCTCGCTCTCGCTCTCGCTCTCTCTCTCTTACTCTCGTCAGCCCAGAAAGCATTACCGAGCTTCCCCCGTCAACTCTTAACCCTGCGCGCAGTTGCCCCTCCTACCACTTACGGTACATCCCCTTTAGGGAGATGTCGTACCACTCTCACGACCCTGACAAACTTACTACAGTACCCTTGGTAACATGTTACAGTATTCTAAATACGGGCCGCATCTTCTATGGTACAGTACAGTACATGTCCCTGCCGTTCACGTGATGTAGTTCAGGTTTCCGACCAGCGTTTCTAGATTCGCACAACCCCCAACCACCCCATATTGATTTCAAACGGCATAATCTCCGCTCGCTTGCCCTTTCGCCCTTCGCGAGCCTCTTTCTTGCACTTATTTCCTGCTGTGGTGGCAAGTCTGTTTGCTTTCGCCTCTCGCCACGACTCGGCTGTACTTTTGGTGTGAAGAAATTACCAAGCAAATTCCTCTATCTGCCGCTTTCTATTTACATTGATATCTCCGCCGTGAATGTCGTTGACGCAATCCATTAATCAGCGCTACTGTAGTTCAATGGCGTTCCTCGTAATGAATCATAACCTCAAACTGACTCGTGAGCTTTCCCCGCTACTAACTACTTGTACGAGAGAGACCGTACATTGCGTCCCAGCGGCTCAGCCGCCTCCAATGCAACTGTTCCAGTGTATCTGCCCCTTTGGCAAAAACCCCAAGCTGCAGTCTTTTCTCCATCCACTTGTAAGCCAGCTGCGCTTAGCTATGCAGCCAAGCCGCCGAGCGTAGAAATACACATGTAGCGCCTAGGCTCCACCGCCGTCACACCGGGATGCCAGGGCATCCCCAATGGCCGCACAGTACCCTTAGTACTGTACAGTAGTAGTATTTAGTCCATGTCTGCACTGAGAATTCGTAACAGTAGAGGGCGTCTGATCGTCGGAGGGACCCCCAAGTTCCCACACCACCCTCTCTAGCTAGAAAGCCTTACTTGCTACTCTGGAACCTCTCTCGGGATTTCGTCCAGCCACTGCTGATGTAATTCATCACCATTCCATCATGAGAGCCGACGGAGTTGCATCGTGACTGCTGCAACTAGTGAATACAGTAGCCACGAGGACTCGTAGTCATGTACAGTAGTACTAGTACTGCACGTTCGGTGCCCTCAACTTATCATGTGTGCGGTCACTACGTTGTGTTTCTTTTACCGTCTCGCCCAAGACTATGAGAACGCGCAGGACAAACCTGGCATAAGGAAATACACCATTCAGTCTTTTCGCAAGATATACGGTGCGAAACATTGTCATGATTCTATTGGTATAGTGCGATATGAGAGAGCCGTGGTATTTTCTCCCACGCCCCAGCCCGTGAGTCGCGGAGCTTCGATAGAGGGGCATTCACAAACCAAAACAATATCGAATCCTGTGCTTCTTTTGCGTACACGAGGAAGCTGGGATATTAGTAAAGATGTTTCAACAATCTTTATCCCTTCGACCCGGGTGCTCTTCCACAACAGTTAGCGCTCTCACGATGGAGCTTCTATAACTACGCGACATATAACACCGTTCGAATTACGACTGCACCGCAAAACGCAAAAAAATGCTCGACGATGTCAACAACTTCGACCACTGACCTCCTCCGACAGACACTGAATTCTTCAATCCACATGGGACTGTATTCTTTTTACTTTCGCGAACTACGAAAGAGTACGGCACAGTATGGCACGCATCGTACCACGTCTGTAGCGGAGTGTAGCGGGAACTCTCGAACGGAACTGAACTTCAAGCTCATGGAACTGATGTTCTTTCTTTCTGCTAACATTATAACTCTCCTCTACTTATACTATTTGCTGCAGTGTAAGGCTCTCCAATAATTCTCCGATAACTCCCCGATAACTCTCCTGGTGTGCGACATGAAATAATATTTCTTGTCTATGCAATATTCGTGCACTCTCCCTGAATCATTTAGAATAATAATTTGAGAGTCGCATATGACACGTTGCAACGTCTCGTCCTGAATCCTTTTATGGCGAGCTGCAAATGCGAGAATGTAAGTGAATTTGGGCTCCCTATTACATCCTTTTTTTGGGAGAAGGACCGATTGGTAAAAGGGATTAACGGGATTCCAACGCTGGTAATTCCAATATTGAGAGCGGGCTGAAGTTAATTGTGTCCATCTGTGCCTAAATAGCAAAAAAAGCTCTTCTCCTTCCAATTAGGCTTCATATAGTCGCGTATCTTTTTTGCACCATGTCTGCAGTTATGTACCGTTGAGGGTTAAGTAAACTACACTTATTTATTCATTCATGTTGGCACACTGAAGTCCATCACTACCTACAGTGTGCGCTCACCACAGAAGGCATCAATGACAGGAAAAATAGTTGACACCAGACACATGATAGTGCTGTAACCCCACTGGCATCGGGGAGATAAAAGAGGGTAGAGACTTGTAGACTTGATATCTTGCGATCGACTAGTGTGTGAACGATAATGTAAAGGAAAAATCAAAAGGCCTACGCTCAATCTTTTGTCCTTGACCAAAGGAAAACTAAGCTGCAGGGAGGGAAATCCCATGTTTAAATCAGTTGCAAAGAAGTCGCATTGCGTCTAAAAGTCGTGGCACAATGTCACTAAACGACCCAAGTATCTGATTGATGATTCCCTCAATGGGATATTGGAAACCCACAAGACTATAGTAGCTTTTGTCATATCCTTTATGGGTTTATGGAACCCACAAGGGCAGTAACCGATCTCGTCTCTAAACAGTAAAAAGGCCGACTCAACCACTGCTGGGAATGCAGACATCAACACATCGAACACCGCTCCCTCCCTTGACCAAACTCGGCTGGTCAAGCCCATAATTAGCATTCCGAGCCGTCTCCTCGAATCCGATTCCCGACCATCATTTCCATCCTTGTCCATACGAACTGGCCAAGAACCTCGTTCTACCCTGACCCGTCTCCTCTGGACCCGCTCAAGAACTTGCTCCGATTTTCGAACCTGACTTCCTGTCATTGTGGGTTGCGTGCCTGTGCCTGGCTACAAAATACACTGAGCTGTAATCGGGCCTGATCTCTGAAACTTGCAAGAATAAACAGAGCCATTTACTTCCCAAAAGCCATTTCTTTAGAGATTCGCATGGTGCATTTTCTCTCAAGTGTCAAGACGAAAATCGCCCTTCAGTGAGGTATGTAGATTTGTGCTGCTCAAATGAAGGGGCAGACATGTCCGAAAGTCATGTCTATCTACTAACCGGCAGCAATTCATCATTCTGTTGTGCAACAGCTCTCGAACACTGCACGCATGGATTCTTTTTATCATGTATTCTGTTGAGCTACCTTTGGACATTGCCCCAGCCGCTTCTTCCAACCTGACGTCTTACTAAAAAAAAAAGAATCAAAAGCAACAAGACTTGATAGCATTTGTGAAAGAATTGAAACAACGAAAGATTGAGTCAAAAAGGTAGAGTCAATTGGGGGCTCGATACGATAACTTGAGATAGATGGACGCCAGGCGAGACCAACAGTGCCCTATCCATCTTAATAGGAGGAACGCAATCAGGCTATGTATGATATGAGTATAGGTATAATACCTCATAGAATTCAAATTTGTCAAAGCTTGCTGCACTGCAAACACTCTTCATACGATGAAGAGTCGAGAATCCAGTCTTTACGGGAGGGAAGAGCGAATGGGCGACGTACAGTACTCTACTCCTAAGCATAGGTTTGAGGACCTTTTGTGCGCATATTTTGAGGGCCCAGATGGCCAATTGTCAACGAAGCTATCACGAGAATCCACGTAGGCATGACATGGTTTCTGCGCAGAAGATCAGTCCAATATGAGATTCCTAAGCAACTGTGAATGAAGAAAAAGGCAACAAGCAAGGGCTCTGAGGCCAATTTCAATCTCGTTCAAGTGGCATGCTAGTACCAGTTCCCCATCGCGCGAAAAAGATACTACACACACATATCCTATTCATAACTGAATGGTGCATGTTGTACATACAGTTTCGACCGGAGCGGGCTACAGAGAAAAATCTCGATACAGTGACCGCTCGTGACAGTGGCCCCCCTCGGTACAGTGACCGATGGCCAGAAAATTCTTGCCACCATTGCCCTGTGTGCCCACAAAGCCCACTTTCGTTTTCTACAGTGACCCCCTCACTACAGTGACCTTTCCTGTTGAGTGACCCGTATTTGCAGTGGGTCACTGTAGAAAAAGTATATTTTTAATTAAAATTTGTAAGGTCACTCACGTGACGAGCTCGGAAAAAATGAGTCGACCGTTGACTGACGATGACAGCGCTTGCGATAGCCAACAATGTTCTCTATCTCAATGTCCAAAAGTGCCAGAAAATCATCCCTCATGGATTTTGAGAATGGATGCTCACTCTGGGCAAATAAATTTGCCTCCTTTCTCAAAGCCACAGCTGCTGCCTGCAAACGATTTAGAGAGGGCTTCTTTGCCTCACAGCGCTCTTCTTCTCTTTGTGCATCTGCCCCGGAGTCTGAGTCAGACTGCTCCGTAGGCCCTCGGACCTCTTCCATGGCAGTAGAAACAGCTTCATCAAGCGCATTGTCGCTTGAAACTGGCACGCAAATATCCAGGCCATCTTCCATCCTGCTAAACTCCTGCAAATCTCCATTACTAAAACTTTCTACCACGTTCAATCGTGCCAACTCTTGCCAGTCGCTCATTAATAAATGCATGTTGTTTCCCGTCCATTCGCAGTCCCCCAGTTTTATTAGCTTTTTAAGTTGTCAGCTCTGTCAGCTGGACTTCACCCCTTTGTTTGGGGCCGTTGCGGGGCACCTGCATCCAGCTCCAGTACAGTGACCCCCACCGGTACAGTGACCCTAATGGCCTTTCCGGGTCGCCACCTTTAGGGGTCACTGTATCGAGATTTTTCTCTGTAATGAGTCCTGCGCCGTTGTCTAGTTTGACACATCCATTTGTCACTGTGTTTTACTATGGAAGGCGTTTTGTGGAGTGCTCAATCCCATTCAGATGACAGTGAGCTAACGCTTGAGACGGAGTTTATGTAATGGATATGAACAGTGTCTGCGAGTCATCACCTGTGGTAGCACTAGTGCCCACGTGCGAAAAGAGAAACAAAAGGCTGAGTAGCAGGCGCACGAGAGTCACTCGGTCAGAGGGGTAATCTCGGGAGCATTCATACCGGGAAATCCCAGTGCCGAGAGGAGGGGTTTGAATATGGACTGGTGAATAAGCAAACAACAAGAGCACCGTGAGAAATCAAGAGTCTTGCGAAAAAACTTGGCAGTTTATAACCAGCTGGACGCGTGCAGGTGCTGATTATGTGAGCCATAGCGAATTGAATTGAAACTAGTTGGCTTGACGTACTAGGTAAGCGACAAAATGGCGTTTAGGCAAGTGAATAAAGAAGGGGGCGAGATTGGTCGGAGGTGGAAGGTTGAACGACAGGGAAGGTTTGGTCGGGCGACGCATGTATTGTAAAAATGGAATTACGGTGGCACTAAGAAGGTTGACCAACTCTATGCGCGGACAGGAAAGCGGGCGGCGACAAGCTTGAAAACTGAGCGAACGCAGAAGGGGGCATGCAAGACAAGAGAAAAAGGGGGCGTCAGCACATGCTCTCAACGACGGACGGAATTGGCACAAGACGATGCGAAAGAGTTGGGCAAGCGTACCGACACCAAAAAGGACTTTGAAAACACCGCCGGGCAGGCGTCGGACGAGCGGGGTTTCCCTCTGGACGACGTCTGCGATGGCGGGCAAGGCGAACATGGAAAGAAACGAGGTGGTGAAGACGTGTTTAAGGAAGACGATGCCGTTGCGGTCGAACCAGTCGCTGGCAAAGGAGTGGAACTCGTCCTCGGTGAGCGAGCCGGAGCGGTCGGTGTCGAACTTGGCGAGCAGGGAGTTGACCTTCTCCGCGGACGGCGGCTCCGTGACGCCCGGGCTCTTCTTGTACAGCTTGAAGTGGAGCTTGCTCATGGCGAAGGTCTGCGGCGCGGGGGGTGGGGCGTTAGTCGCGGATGGGGAGGGCTGCGAGGAGACGAGGAGGAGAGACGAGGAGGGGAGAGCGTGCGGCGCAACGTACCAGTTCGTCCTTGTCGATGTGGCCGCTGTTGTCGTTGTCGACCTTCTTGAAGACCTCGCGGACGCCCGACTTGAAGGCGGGGCTCTTGGTGAAGGGGCCCAGCATGGTTGCGCGGCGTGGGGTTTGGCAGCGTGGGAGAGGCGCGAAGAGAGAAGACGCGTGCGGAGCGAAGGCTTGTGCGGAGCGAAGGCTTGTGCGGTGTCGGGTAGAGACGTGGTGCGGACAGAGTGAAGCGGGATCGTGTATCTATCCCGGGAGTGGGTGTAGAGATCGCGAAATTCCCACCAGGCGGCACTGCAATCTAAATTTCCACATATTTTCCTCCCACAAACTCAGCCCGGGGCCAGTGCCCGGACAAGCGCCCTCTCGACGTTGTTGCCCAAGACCCTACCCGGTTATGATGCAACCCGTCTTGTCTACGGAGCGCCCCCGCACGCTCCCCCGCCGAGTTGCTGGCACCCTCCCTCCCCGCCACAGAGCACAAGCGGCGCCGCCCGCGCGATGTCCTCACAGTACAGGAAATTCGGTCGGC